TAATTTTTAGTTAAAAAAAATGTATTACCTATGTAACATTATCTTATAAGCTGCCTTTTCTACAATTAAATAAATAATAATCTCCCTAATAAGTAGTCTGCTTGGTTGATAGTTGAATAAGGAATATACACTGATTTGTATAGATATCATGCAAGATTTTGTTAAAAACGTAACTGTACACGACGTTAATTGAAAGATAAGGCAGAACATATGTAAGTAGTTAGCAAGTTCCATTGCTTTAATATGGAAATTTGGTGCAATTTTAAACTGCTCACAAACTTTTAAAGAGAGTATTCAAAAAGAGTCATGAGTCATGGCAACGACTTCAGCCAAGTTAAAAAAAGAGGTGTACTATAACTATGACTTCACTTCACACTGAGCATTGTGCAAAATGTAGGTAACACAGCAAACCTGTAGTAGTATAAGCTGAATTGCCACAGATTCTCTGAATTTTTTCAGTGCCTATAAGGATCCCCCCTGAAAGGAAGAGGGTAAAGCCTTGGGTTAACAGTTAGGACTGCTCTTATTTAGTATCTTTAAAGGTTTCATGTTATGAAATGTGGTGGGGCTCATATTGATAAACAATCAAGCAATATTTTCAAATACAGGTTGTGAAAAATAAGTATGACTGAAGTAGGAAATGAACTGTTTTATTTGTTTAAAATGAACAACTGTTTTATTTAAGATTATTATTCTACCTGTACTTCTTTTCCATCATCATTATCATCATTTCTATTCAGTGATCCACTGAATCTCAGGAATCCTCACTCCGGTTGAGGATTTCCTTTGTTCAATGGCTTTGCTTCTCACACTGTAGTGAGTTCATTTTGACTTTCTTTACTGCTCCTCCTCCCCTCATGTGCTCTCTAGCCTTTTTGTTGCTCTACCTGTCTCTTCATGTGAGACACAGTGTTACATCTTCCTTCTCCATTGAGTCATTAGGAACTGTTCGATGGTTTGTCCTGTAACTACTTTCACAGTATTAGCTAGGGATATGGAAGACAGATTGGTCATTTTTTTCCCCAAAAGACAAATGTGCAGGATGCTTTTACAGCATCTGAGTGCACTTCATCCTGTCTTTGGTCTCCTGTTAAGAATTTCTACACCATGTACGTGTACTGCAGTTGTGTATTTGTTGAAAGTTTTTTTTGTCATTGCCTAGGATTTCATTCTCTCTTACAGTACATCTTAGGTGAATATAACTCATGTCTTTTCCCCCTTCACATGAGTGATGAGATCTGAGGTAATAAACCTTATTACTTCAATGCTTTCATTTCATACTGCAGATACCCTGGGGATACCAGTAATGATTGAAAATGCTAGAATGTGATGGCATCATTATGATGGCAGCATAATGATTTCGTAAAACTATATACTGAGCATCAAAAGAAAACACTGCTTAGAATTTTAACAAGTTCACAAAGTACGCAGAAAATATCACAGTCTTGTTTGTAGCAGGAGCATCGGCGCAGGTAAATTCATTATGTTAACATTTGCCATCAAGAGCTGATCAACGGGGGGTCTTGTGTCGTGTGTAGCCACTGCTGGAAGCATTACAAGCAGTACATCTATGACGCATGGTTTGCAGATGATGTCCTCTGGGATTCTGGCCCCATTCTTTCAAGGAGCCTGAGCAAACATGTGCCTGTTCACTGGTCTCTGAGCCCTAAATGCAGCACATTGTCCTGCTTATCTCGGGAAGTGAATATTCAATGGGGCTCACGTCTGGCAAACATTAATTCTCACATTCTGACCTTGCAGAAAATGCTGTTGTTACATGAGCAGTTTGAGTACATTTGGTGTTAATTTGTAATGTTCTCATATCAGGATAAAACTACAGGAAAGGAAGCAGGTGAGGTCCAGGGACTTTAGAAATGTAGTGCTGTACAGTAAGTTCGCTATCAATCACTGTAAATGGTGTCCTTTAGTGACCAGCTACACTTTCTCAGGGCATCTACAATTGGACCTCCCATCTTATAAAATGAGCCCAATCTAATATCTTACAGAAGAGGTGATTAAGAGTTTATGCAACAGTCAAAGTCACTTAATTCTATCACGGTCAGCCACGACTGATCAATAAATCACTACGAAGTCCAAGTATTTAATTAATACCTGATGTCTCTATATTTTCTCTTTATTTTATGTAAGTATAGCATGATAATATTTACATGAAAGTTAATTTTACACTATATAATGGAATTGGCTTCCTCTTTGATGTACATTGATGTACTTAAAAGATAGAGAATAACAATTTGTATTCATCTACTGTACGTTTTGCAGCATTTAGAGTTTCATATCTCAAGCTTCACAGGGGGTACAATTGGCAATTGCATTTGGTGTTTGGATATTTATTTCTGCCACCATATCTTCTCCGTTTCTCAGATTCTGCATTGTTATTTCCTGCTGACACAGTTATTTATTGCATTAATTGTTCACAAATAATAGCTTCTGATGAAACGTCTCAGTCCTGAATGAGGAGATTACATGCAGATTTCTACCAGCTTGATGCATGCCATCTTTACGCAACACTAATTTCTTTCCCTATGCAATTCATTGTGTAAGATGCCACTGTAGTGGTACTCAGCATCCTTAACATTTATATTACATTGAATGAATGGTAATCGTTCCTGGGGGCTAAGGTCCTAAGGCAGATTTGTGGGCATCATGGTTATAAAGTGCTGGGGCTCATTAACTAATTTATGGCTCATTGAATGACTCCAATTTCTTCAGAAACTACTTTATTTTAGGTGGAGTGGTTACTAGGCATAATAAATAACAATATACACAGAAATAGGCATTTCAATAAAATATAAACTGTAACAGTGTATAAAGTGTTATATACAGTATATAATACTTTATACAATAAAGTATACACAATACACATCACAAAATACAGTATCTATAAAAAAACTATATCTGTAAAAAACAGTCAATACAATTTTAAGTAATCCTTTAAAATAAATAAGACAAATTTAATTAACTTTGTAATTAAATTAATTTGTGAAAGTATGCACACAAAACACGACTATACTGTAAATGTATAAGAGATGACCTTGGTACAGCACAGAAAGATGCTCAAAACAAATATAAAAACTGTTTTTCTTTTTTAAAAATACTAAAAACAAAGCAAAGTGTGGTCTTATATTAACCACAGGTTTTGTCTACACAAGGCTTTAGACGCAAGCAAGTACACAAGTCTATCCTCAATCGTATTACCCTTGTTGCTGATTAACTACAGTATTAATAGGTGAACAATGTATGATTAGCATACACAAGTTAGAATGACAATGTGTCAAATATTTCCACAGTGTTTATTTTTTTCCTATTGCTGAAGCCCAATTGGATACATTTCAGATAACACAACAGAAAAATAATTCTTAAAGATATTCAGATACTATGACTCAGTTTCAAATACCATTTTGCATTTCAAAAGCAAATTTAAAAAATATGCTCCAAATATAAAACTGAGATCAAGAACTTCGTGTTTAAGGACGTATTCAGAAGAATAAAAAACAGGATTATCCAAAATCCACAGGTGTAGGAAGCATGAACATTAAAAAGGTTACAAACGAGAGGTCTTCTGGCCTAACTAGCTCTTTTGGGCGCTAGTAGCATCTCATCCAGGAACAACTCCACCTGTTTCATGAAAGAAATCAGGATACTGGGTTCACGGATGGCTTGCTTCTTCCAGATTCGCAAAACCATTCATACAAAAAATAAAGAGCAAATCGAGAGCAACGTGTGTCTCCTTGTATTAGGGACATTCTTGTATTTCAAGTAAACAAGTTAAGGTTGTATACAGTATGCACAATGAATAAGATTCCTTATTCATCTGCTACACAAACATACACATTTTATCGTTTTACATTTGAACCGTCTAAAACCCTATTTAACTACACAACTATGAACTTTTGCTTTCTTGTTTTTTTTTTAAATAATAGCTGTACCAAGTATCTACTCCGTCCTAGGACTATGGTGTGATATTAACTGGTCTGGTGATGTTTTACCAATAGGTTTGGTCAGACCACCCGCCCCAGACATTAAAATCCGTGTACCAGGTGCATTTCTATTTAAGCAGACATGAGTTCCACATTTGTACACTTTATCCTTTCACTTAATGTGTGTTTATTTAAATTTATTTAATAAACGGTGTTATGGCGCGGTGGCGCAAGGAGTAGTGGCCAAACCCACAATTTCTTTGACGTTTTTATTCCCAAAAATGACACGCACTTTCACTTAATATTATCAGCTCCATAGAATATAAAGTCCCTGTCCCTTTAAAGCTCCAGACAAAAAGCCCCATATGATCCCCGAGCTCCAATCATCAGTTTCTTCTGCAAAGGCAGCCTCTGCATTTTTGTCTTTTTCTAAACGCTAACATGGCGAAAAAAAGACTGATGTGAAGAAAAAAAGATACAGAAGAAATGTGAAATCACGACATCAAACATTTTCATGGAGAGCAAAAGTCCGATGCAAAAGGAGGGGAATCTGGACTCCTTTGCACCAGAAAACCTTGGATCAAAATGGTAGTGCGCTGCATATTTCTGTTTATTTTTCTTTTCCCTTTTGATCTCTTGCAAATTTGGGCTAGTTAGGCCTTTGAAACTTACCTGAAATTTGCCTAAAGCTGCTTTCGAATGTCTTTGTTTTCAGCGACTACGGGGATTCTTACTGATCGCGGTGCAATTGTGGGTTTATAATAAGTTAGCAACTTGCATTGAGCTAAGAATCAAGAAAAAAATGTTGGATTGATTGCAAGAATTCAACAGTAACAATAGCTACATTGTTGAAAAGAAAGAGTTAAATTCCTTCGTATCAGGATGCTTCAGCAAGGATCAGGTCGTGACTGATGCATTTTATGGACTTTGTTTTGCAAGTGGCGAGACCGAATTGTCACGCTCCAGTGTAAACGCATTTAAAATAACATACTTGTCATTCTTTTCCAAGTACTGTACTTGGCTTTTAGACTGTTTCTACTGGAAATAACAGTTTCTTATGGAAAAAAACGGAGAGTAAGAAAACTTAGGCAAAACGACTACTTTGAATTTTCCTTAACGAATGCACCACACCAGTTCAAAATCTGAGCTCATATTTTTTTTATATGGATAGTGAGTATCGTTATTTAACTACACGTTAAGTTTTACCTAATGCTTAAAAATCAGTGATTCGATCAGTCTTATGGTATTGGCAAGAAGTGGCGGATTTTGACAGTCTGGTAAGCACAAGTACAGTAGGTTGCACTGTCCCTTTCTTTGCATGATTGATAAAGTGGTCTTACTACAGTCTCCTGCAGCTATTTTGTTTGAACGTTGTAAAGAGGAACTTTACAGATTTTTTTTTTGCTCAATATTGGGTTGTTTTAGGAAAATCTTTAATAGGTTGAACTTTGTTTGAACTATTTATGAATAACTTTAACAGTTCAAACATAATTGTTCTCCATTATCATTAAGCGACGGTATAATGTCTTTATTTCGATGTTTGACTTAAACCTATAACTGTCAAGTTTTTGTTTATCCAGAAACTCGTGCACTATAAGGACTGCTAAAGCGTGATTGTAACTTGCACTTTATTGCATATCTCCAAATGAATGTTAGGCAATAATGGAGTGTTAGCATTTGAAATGCGCTGTTTTCTCTTTGAAACGGTCGAAATGTCAACTAGTTATAGCTATAAAATGCAGAATTCAACTAATTTTGAAAGTTGCAGTGATTTGATAATAGGGTGTACCTCCATTGGTTAAGGGATATATATACAGTTTATAAAATGAAATCCGAAACCTTTATTTTGACAGAAATTACAAGCTAGTTTTCTGACACAACTAAAAAAACAGTCTTATAGGCCGTCATTCCTGATGTTTCATTTAAAACTAGTTACTTTGCATTGCATATGGTGATAACATTGTTATGCTTTAACACTAAAATAATTATGTACTGTTCGTTTTGATTCTATGAGAAATAAGCATTCCAAGTTTGTATATGAAAGACAACATTTAGAATGTTATAATCGGAAGATTTGATCTGAAGTTTTTATATAGCAGAAGGCTTTTTCTTCATGTAATTTGTACTGAATGTTGAATAATTACCTCAAAAATGCTTTCTAACGTAGGCATTTTTATTTTGTTCACATACATTGACGCACATACATTAAGAGTTAGGTTTACAGACTACGGTTTAATTAACATTTCTTATGACCTGCCGTGACAAGTAGCGTAATCTTCCAGTGGACAAAATCAGTTCGTGCCGATTTCCATACTCTGTATTCCATATGCTATATTCCATGCTCTGGTTTTCAGGATCGTCAATGCAAATTCCGGTTCTAAATGTTCTTGGAGCCGTACATGGTCACTCTCTGTGAACTGTAGAATAACCGTAGAATAACTGGAGTCTCAGGAAAAATTGCTGCGTTCGCAAAAGTAGGAGGGTGTGGTCTCACCTGCGGTGCCTCTTGGTTTCAATCGATGTCAAGGCGTGCATGACAAATGCCCAGCGCCTCTCATGACTCAGATTTTTTTTCCTAGTTCAGACTGGCAGCACTTAATTTTTGTAATGATAAAAAGCAGACGGTTTTCTATTTAATTATGTAAAATGATTCTGAAATGTTGCCCGGTTGGCCTAATGTGCTGCTTCCATTTACAGCGCAAATTGACCTGTGAAATACAGAGTGGAAAGTGTTTGGTACACCTGCCAACTACACCGGCCATAAATATTTTTCCTTTTTCGAGCAAATCTAAAATGAGTCAAGCCAACTTGACTTAATCAAATGGCTTCTTTCACATCCCAAACAGGAGTATCAAATGCATCTACCCCCCCCCCCCCATAACAAATAAATTTATATTTCAAAGCCACTGATTTAAGAAAATTGCACATAAAAATAAGATATGTCCATTTAGCTGTACTGACCCCTTAAGCAAAATGTTTGGAATAGCCTGATTTCTAATCAAATGATACTCTGTTTGCCAAAACCAATTTTCACTATCAGAATGTTTGTTACATCAAAGCAAGCACTGTTCTGTGTTGCCTTTCAAAATAAAAAATAACTATTCTGCTGTTTCATCTAACAGCATTGGACCTTTAATGATAATTTAAAATACTGTTACAGAAAAGATCAATGTACTGTTTTGAATGTAAGATAGCTTACCTATGTTTTAATGAACCCAGTGCAACCCCTCTGAGCTGAAGTGGATAGAAAGGTCATTTTAGGACATTTCATTAAAGGCAATGGTTGCGCAGCAGAATAATCCTATAGCCTTTCACATCTGGAGGCCTTAGTTAATAACTGGGTCAAGTAACACATGAAATGAGCCTTGAACTCCCAATTGTACTTGAAAAGAGCATTAGTTGCAAAAATTTAAATCCCTCCCACAACCCATTTGTTTGAGGCCAAAAACGTTGTTTTATTTGTTTTTTCATTGAGGTCGCTTGATAAAACCAATGTTTAGAATGAGTAAAACAGCATTATTGGATACTTGTTGTATATTGTATTGTGAGACCGTGTTATGTAAACATTCCAATACAAGGAATATGGTGGTCATTGTTAGTGTCAGCTGCTGTTATTGGGAGCCTATAAAAGCCCTTACTTATTGTCAAAGGTGGAGAGGTGGGTGCAGAGAAGTACATGAAAGTGAAGAGGTTAAAAATTATAATAAAAAATTGGGTCCGGACATCAAATGCATTCCAAAATTTAAAAAATAATTGTATGCCCTCTTTTCTTGGGGGAATACCAAATATAAACACTTGTGGTTTCTTTGTTTCTAAAGCACATGATAGCCAACTTAAAAGGCACTAACGTGTTATTTAGATATTTGTAAGTATTAATAGACAGAAACATTTGCTACTATTGTTTAAAGAGAGGTGTACAGTAGGGCCCAGCCTTTACCAGAACCAGGAACCAGGAAAGGATCCCTGAGCTTGTGGCACAAATCTGTTTCTAATAAAATAAAAGACCCTAATCAGGACAACATCACTACCTATATGAATGCAATGCCAGTTGAAACCTTTCTTTCTGTATCAAAATACTGTACATGGCAGGATGCACCCTTGAGGGCATGCCAGCCCATTGCAAGACACACAGACACACACTTGCACTGTGGACCTACCAGTATGTCTTTGGACTGGGGAAGGAAACAGGAGAACCTGGTGAAAACCCACAGGGAAACGGGAAGAACATTCAAACTCCACGCAGATAACACACCAGGTCTGGACTTGATCCCAGGGCCCCAGGACTGTAAGGCTGCAGTGCTAACCACTGCACCACAACTGTGTTGCCGTCCTTCATATTTTCTGGACTCAAACCCTTAAATGCTTACCTGTTTTCAAAAAAATAGATCCATGATCTATAAAAATAGAGGTAAAGTAGAGGCGTGTCTTCCCTGTCTGGAGAAGTAAAGTCGGGAGACTCTTGATTAAGTTTTAAGGAATGTATCCTGGCTTCCTTTGTCTCTGGGGATCACACATAGTCTTATTTACCATGGTCACCCTTCCATTATTTTGTGAATTTTTCTGCCAGTACACATGAATTAAACTGTTCAGTAAAGCGCTCTCCTCTTTGGCTTTCTCTTTTATTACAGTATGTAAGTGTCCTTGAGTTGAAATAGGATGTTTGTCACCCCTGTTTTGTTTTCTCTCCCATGGAGGTTAAAGATTTACCCAAATTAAGAAATGTCTTATCTTATATCTCGGGGGATTGTTAAAAGAGTGAAATGCGGAATTATTAAAAAATATCCGTATATAACAATGCATGTTAGTGTAAATAATTGTTAGATTTAAAGTTTTGGGGATGTGGGGGTTTGTATATAATGCTTGGATCAGAAATGACTTCCACAAGCTGTTCATATTTTTGTTTGAAAACAGCCCTTGTACTGATGCTTAATTTTTATTGGGTTTTACCATATGCACTTAAAAAGAGAGGAGCTGTAGGTCAATTGTAAGGCTGTAGTTTTAGGTAAAATAATAAAGAGAGAAAGATTATACAGTAATTGTATAAAATGACATTCCCATAAAATAAAATTGTTCATATGTTGCAGTATTGCAGGATAATAAAATATTATTATGTGTACTTGCATTACAAATTGAGTGTTAGGTATAGCCATGGGAAAGATGTGTTCAGATCAGGACTAAAATCTGCTTGCAGTGGCTGTTGGCATTAGTCCAGAAAACACCCAGTCACAATGGCAGTCAAGGGTAGCACCAATGATGCAGTGGTAGCTGCCTTCAGGTTTATTTAATTTATGATAAAGAAATAGATTTTTCATCCACAAAACTGTGTCGTCTCTTTGGGGGGGTTACAGTGTTTTTCTGTGACTTTGGAAACGGCAGTAGACAATAGGACATCAGTATAGTAATACAAACAGTTTTGTATTATGAGAACATAAGAATGTGCTCCATGTGAAATAAATGCATAATTAAGAGTCAGACTTCACCACTCTCTTTTGCATGTCCCTTTTAGTTTATAATACTACTGAGTTTTGTTTTTTTTTAGTTGGAAGAATACTTACATATGGATATCAATATTAGTCCACAAAAAGGAAAACTCCTAATTGTAGAAAACATTTTTTTATGCAGCACACTTGTATTCAATGCTGTTCCATTGTGATCTTCTAACAATGACAAGTAATGGAATTTGACAAATAAAATACTGTGTATTGTTAATTTCTTCATATCTCTACATAGGTGAAGAATCTTTTCAGTTATCTTTATGATATCATGAAAAGAAAAGGTGCCCAGTTTTGTTACAAAGCAGTCACTGTGATTTGTTATTTCACTGGAATTGAAATAATTCACTTGCACACTTGACTTTGCTCACTGAGGCTTATATTGATGCAGGCTTGGTTTTTACATAACCGCATATTCAGGGCAAGCAGCCCACCCTTGACTTTCAAGCTTGGCTGTTATACAGCTCTGAAGATGAGGTCACTTTAGTTCTTGTGGCAAGTGCAGCCTCCATGTTTTGAAAACTAAATGCCAGCAGACTTTTGCGCCGAGAAGACAGTTTGCTTTTTCCTCCAAAACAGAGGAAGATGCTTCTGATTTATGACTAGAAGCAAGACTCTGTAAACCACAATGTTGACTGTGTGCTTATGCAATTATGCTGTTATTGTATTTTTCATCTTCTTAGGTCTGTGGCAGGCAGTGGTATTTAAATAAGAACCATGAATGATAGCTGTTTGGAATTAAATTTGTGTTCTTCTGATTATCTTTGTCAAACACTGCCAAGAAT